CGCAAGCTACAAGTAGAAGTGGAGAAATCGAGGTGTTGAAGTGGATTTGAGTTGCAGCTTACTTCATTACCTCATTTTTAGTCATAACAGAATAAACACAGTGACCACCACTTTTCGATTGAGTTCGGGTGCCACTATTCCACTTTCATTTGCTTACACAGTAGTCAGATTAGAAGTTAAATTTGACAGAGTCACTTCTCCTTTCTCACAGTCATTTCTAACTATAACAGTTTATTTTGAGGACAAAGTAACTCCACAAGTACTCTGTTATCCTGCATTTGTTTGTGTAACATTGCACTAAATAAATGAACATGCTACACCTCCTTACTCACATGGAAATGACTGGGCAGAACCGAAGTGAGAATCAAGTGGCAAGGAAGAAGGGAAGCAAAAACTTTCCTCCACTAAGCTATGACTATCCGTCCTTTTATTAAATGACCCTGCTTTGGGGCCAACTTTCGTGCGACTACTATTAGGCAAACATAATGCTCTGCACATTCACCCTCATCAATACAGCTCCAAAACAGGCGAAATTACAGATTTAGAGCAATTGCTAGGAGAAATCATAGATTTTATGGTCAAATAGATCGCATGTGAGAAAATGTCAAGGGGAGAGGAGCAGCAGTTCAGTGATGCCTTGGAAGTGCATCACTGTAATTGTGGTGTTTCAACACTGCTTCTAACGCACAGGCGTTGAAACGTGCAGTCTCCGATTTCCCTTTTTTATGCCCACCCTCATGCACGGAGGCAACTAAGGTAGAATTTGAGACCCTCTCTCTGCGATGGTACATGGTCGAGTTCAGTAATTTGCTACTGTCGCCTCATACGTTAATAACGTTCCTGCAGGACATGCGAAGTTGTGTATTAGCTGGGTGTAGCCATGCATTCTCGCATTCACAGCATTTGCCAAGCAGTAGAAATAGGGCTAGCTGTCCTTCGAGATGGATTCTGCCTTCCACTACCATAAATGCCAATTGGCGAGACCTACTTGAAGACAGGAAATATGTAATAGAAGGGTAGAATATGCATTATCACTGTACAGAAGGGCCATTTGGATCTTGACAGCCCAGAGACATGCAGCTCGGCGACAGTACAAAGGCGTAGTTGTCAGTGACTGCAAAGAATTGACCAAATGATCAGAGTATAAGGAAGCAGTCGTAACACGCTAAGAACCTTTCTCAGCAGACACCAGTGACCCCTGAGAAGGAAACGAACTCGGGTCACCCACAAACCCTGATGACCTTTCCACATCCACTATGCTCCTCACACTGAACATGCCCTCCACTGATTCAACCAACTTGTTCCTAAGTCACGAAAGCGAAGCTGGATGCGAGAATCACTAGAAATTTGTCGAATTAAACAAAGTTCAACACAAATGCGAACAACAGATGGCAACAAGTGATTTCGAATATCAGTTGCTGCAACAGACTTTAAGCAACATGGCGGAGATACATAAACTACTTTTAAAATTAGCAGGATTTTGTTTATTTGGAAAATTATTTTGGAGCAAGGCACTTTAAGTCACCCTGCACTATTCATTTTCAGTGCCGCATTTTGTAGTCGTGCAAAGTGTTGGCATCGCAGGATGGCTGAGGCGACAGTCTCTAAAAAGCGGTTCAACTGCAAATGACAAAACCTTTCTGACGTTGTGGCCGGATGTGACGAATTCGACCATTCCTTTGCAAGTGCTCCTTACTTCCCCTGATGCTCTACCATTTATGAATAAATAAGTGGGTAAATAAATGAATTACTCCCAAAAGATTGTACTGATTTAAGCTTCTAGAAATTCTAGCACTTGTAATTCACTAGAATTAGCTCTAAATTGAGTGGCATTCCAAACAACCCGTGAATTGTTATTTTAAGTCTCGGTTTTGGTAAAGTGGGCACTGAGGTGCACCTCCATTGTCTCCGAGCCTCGACAGCAGCCTCAGACTCCACTGTAAGTGGGCAGTGTGCATAATCTGCCCCACCATTATGCTCTCTTTCGTCCTCGGCACAGTGTCTGGGGCTACATAATTTTATGTGTCAATTGAATAGCCTACTTCCAATCC